GAGAGTAAGTGTATGGTGGCTTGTAAGTACTACTCTAAATGCGAAAAACAAAATATGTGGAGAACGGTGTAAAAGTTGTAACTGCGGATTCAAAGTTCATAATAATAACTTTAGATCCATAGTTTTAAAAGATTTTGTTGTTGGATCCGTAGTTGAAGCTTTTCCACCAGTATCCACAAGGGCGAAGCCTTTCATGTGAAAATGACTCATCTAATCTAGAGTAGATAATACCCAATTCCGCTACAAAATCTCATTCCCAAAAATTAAAGTTGTTGAAAGTTCTAATCCATTCTGTGCTGAGTCAGTTCTCATCTGTCTGGATTTTAAAAGATGTGCTTGGAAAAGATAGTATCAGACAGTGGGCCAGGAGGTGGCTTCCCTTAAGCACAACCATTGCACATGAAAGACCAAGATGGAAAGAGCTCGTGTCTGCATTCACGTTACCCGAGCCATAGCCCTGAGGATGGTGACCAAGCTGAGTCAGGTATGGAATAGTTTCATTTAAGAGTAAGACCCTCGGACCAAACTGACTTTTTTCATTCCGATTACGTAAGACAGTCCAAGTTCTACGTCATGAAAACCTATCTACCCAATCCTATCAGGCATTGTTCTTATTTGCTGACCGAACTCAAGCTTAGGATCATTTATATCAAGATCAAATTTCTCAACTGATACTCTATGGAAATGGTAGCCAGCATAACAGGCGCCTATTAGCCAAGCGGGAGCTATCCAGGCCGAAGTACTAGACGCGAGCACGGGACGCAAGACGAGGGGAAGAGAAAAATAACGTGATTCGTCTCGCCCCGCGCTCGCGTCTTGCGCTTCGCTCGGCTAAATAAGCGCCTGTCATGCACGCTATGAAAGTGGCTGTGAAGGGAAGTAGGGGTATATAGTAGAACCTATATTCTACTCGAAGGGTAGGAGATTTTCACTCTGTGAAAAAGAAATTGCTCGATGTTGCATATAATTGAATAAATGACTCATATATATTTCAACAGGAGAGAAACTTAAACTGAATTTGAGAACCTTACAAAATCAAATCGAGTAACGTGTAGTTTAACGTAGAGTACCGTGCACTTGTTCTCATGAAAATATCGATAAAATCCGTTACGTGACACTTGTGAGAGCAACAATTAAATCTGAAGGCGAAAATGC